AGACTTTTCAGTCCATCGATATTTTAAATTTCTATCGATTCTCGACTAATTGTCGGCCAACAAGGCCGTTATTTAAATTTTTTTTATTGTTGGTGCCAATTTAATAATAAACCGTGGAATTATACCAATAAAATAATTTTTATAATACAAAAATGTTACATCTTTATAAAAGTAGAAAATAAGTAACAAATTTTAAAATGTAAACAGAAATGGTTGCTATTTTTACGAGTAGACTTTAGAGTTTTTTGAGTTCCTTTTTGATGGGATTTAGGTATCAATTTGCTAGCTTCCTTATTATCACAATATAACGAGCATCCAATTAAGTCCCAACGACATACTTTAATTACCTAGGTTGATGAGAGCCGCTCGGGATAAATAATAACATAGCTACGTAAAAACAGCACGTTTTCTCGCTAGCCTACAAGCCAAATATCTACTTACCAAGTGTCTGGGCCAACATTTTTATCATTATTATTATCCAGACAACAATCTATGCACTCATTCTTTGAGTATAGATAGTATTATGCTTTTGTTATAATTTTTCTTTTGTTTGTCGATCAATAATAATAATATTATTGGACTACATCGAACATTTTTTTAAATAAAATATATAAGAACAAAACAGTTTTTTTTTTTGATACTGAAAATATATGATATAAACATTTAGGTAGACTAGCGTTTATACTTTATTTTTGGCGTTTTAAAAAAGGCGGTGCGAATGGTTAGGTTAGAAATGGAAGTTGATTTATCCTGCATCCTCTCCCTTCAAATGACGGCCCTATCGGCTCTTTTAACAAAAAATGTTGTATATCATTTCTTATTTTATTTATATTTCAATCAAAAAAATTAGTTTTTCTACGATCACTCTTTATGTATGTATGTATTAATTTATAATTAGTTCTCTTAAGCAAATCTCCAAATTATTAGTTTTTAATTTGCCCATATAATACATTTATTTGTTACTTTTAATATAGTGTTAATTCGAGTGATTGGGATTTAAGAATTTTTTTTTAAGTACTTTTTATCATGTGAAAAGGCGTTCGACTCTGTTCACCATAATATCTTAATCAAAAAACTAGAATACTGTGGAGTCTGAGGTATCAAGCTAAACTTTTTCAAGACAAATCTTACAAATATGTATCAAATATTTAAAATCAATAATATATTAAATAATAAGTTATCTATAAAATATTCTGTGCCTCAGAGTATAGTATTGGCTCCTTAACTATTTATTATTTTTATTAATTGACTTCTTAACCAAAATATTGTTGGAGAAATATTGTTTTTCAAATGATACAGCTATTATAATAAGTAGTGGCTGTTTAAATAGTATTGAGATTAAAATAAATGGTGACTTAAACAATATTAAATCCTGGACGAATAATAATTTTCTTTAGATTAATTTTGATAAATCTTCATTTTTACAGTTCAAAATTAATATTAATCATGATTTGGAGTTTAATAAATGTAACCTATATAATAAATAATGAAAATTTGATAATAAATATTTTTGATGTCTCAGCATTAAAAAGCAAACTCAGTAAAATATTTAGGTCTGTATCTTGACAATTGTTTTAAGTGAAATGCATATCAATCAAATAATACAGAACTTATGAATATTTTTCTTTGTTTATAATTTGAAAAATATTCAAAGTCATAAACTTTAATTTATAGTTTACAAAGCTTTAATACAATCTATGGTCTCATATGGCATTTCCCTTTAAGTTTTTGTATATTTAATACATACCATAAAATTAGAAATTGCACTAAATTCATTAATTAAGTACTTATTCAACAAGTCATTGGTTTCATTCTAGCAGTTTAATATACAATGAATTAAAAATATTTAATCTTATTAATCTTCATTTATAATTGGTTTTTACACTATTATTTATGTATAAATATAAAGTAGTTTCAAAACATATACTTATTTATGACATAAGATTTAAAAAAATTGTAAATATAAATATTCCTAAATTAAAAACAACTTTTGCAAAATCAGAACCATATTATATTTTTATAAAATTCTAAGTTAAATTTAAAATTAATCGTCAAGATTCTTATAATATTATTAGTTTTAAATAACTTGTTGTTGACATCATGATAAATAATTGTAAAAACCGTGCATATTATAAATAATAAGATACACTTTACATTATTGTTAGGATGTTTATTATATACATTTTATCAATTTACTTAAGTATAGTAAGTTACAAACATCGTTATAAACCGATATTTCTTTATATAAATTAAATATTGGTCCCCAACTGCTCACTTTAATGTGTGAAGTTAAAACAACCTTCTGGAATGAAAATAAGCAGGCTTTATTATCAACACGCATTTTTTACTATGTTTGTATTCCATATTATGATGACATTAAAACGGGTTTAGTTACATGGTTTATTTTTTTCTACGGTAGAATGCTTATAACAAATATAAGTAGGAAAAATATAAGTTGTAGACAACAAAAGTTCCTGTAAATCTTAAATTAGTAAGATCAATTTTACAGAATATGTTTACGTATTACATGATAATACCTATGAGTATACGGCTATATAGAAACTATATCGATTACACGCAGCAGCTGCAATAAAAGGAAAACATCAGGCCAATGAGAAATTTTGAAATCGGAAAATCTCGAGACTTCAGACATGACTTTCGGAAATCACGCGTGTATTTTTTTATTCTCATGCTCAACATAAAAAAAACCACCTGTGGAAAACATTGCACACGAAACACCCACACACATGCACGAATCGTTTAACGTTTTGTACACGAAAAGAAAGAATTATCGCCTGACACAATACTAAAAATCCATAAGAGAAAACCATTTTAACCGTTATTATTATTTAACTATTTTATTTTCATGCTTTTATTTTTAATTTAATACTGATTTAAGTCCGGAATATGTTGTATTAAAAATGTGTTAACACTAATTATGCATTACAAAATGTATGTATGTAATGTTTTAAATAGAAAAAAAAAACTTATTCACCAAATAAGTTAGTTATTTTTATTTTTAATCGTGCTATTTGAAATAACATAGTTGATTATTAAATATATTGCATTTGTATAATTTATACAAATCTTAAGATTTTATATCAAAAAAAATTGATAACAGTAGTTCATATACTCAAGTTAATTTTTTATGTTTAAAAGTTAATGTGTTATTAAAACTATAGGATACACATATTTTGAAATACACAAATTATAGATAACTCTGAGACGATGTTAAGCCCTAAAATTTACATAATTTTCAAATAATTTATTTATTTACAATATATATTCTAAATCGTTCAAAATAATGATTGTGCAGGAATTTCCTTATTTCAAAAAGCATATTTTATAGTTAGTACTTACCTACATGATTTTTTTTCTTATTTTTAATTTCTTATGCTTTTTATTTTTCTCGATTTATAATTAATAACAGCTTATACTAAGGTCCATATTTGCAACACGTTATTGGTCATTACTAGAGCTAGTAACTTAGTAGCTAGGTATTTAATTCCCTAAAAACCATAAAATATGCATGCATTTATGCCCTAAAGAATTAATAAATATGCTTTTAAAATATGCATTTAAAAAAAATTATATTTGTAATAATTAATAAAATAAAAAAATGAAATTAGTAATAAATAATAATAATATTTTTGGGTATGATAGATATGATTATCTGAGATAATTATTTTCTTTTTTTCAGATTTGTTTTCAACATTTATTGTTGAACAAATTTTTTCTATTTTTAATATAGTACTAATTACCTTAAGCATTACATTAGACTATAAGATATTTTCTTAGTTGGAAAATTTGAATGGCCTGAATAAATAAGGAACTTATTGATGCAAACTTAAAAAATGGTAGGCTAATACTACTAATATTTCCCGACAATCCATCTATAGATTAATTGTATCCATTTAAAATGTTCGATATTTTTTCTAGTTGATCAAATCCAATATTTTTCTCCAAAACATTTTTAATTGTATCATAAATTGATCTAGTTTGTGCAGATCCTTCAATTTTTGCATAATGTATAGGTTATTTTGTAGTTTTAATTATTTTAATGGATTCAGTAAGTAACCTTGGGTTTCAAGTCGAGCGATAGATGAAGAAATAAATCCATATTTTTTTTTATAAGATTAAAAATCTTTCTTCTTCATATAAATGTCAAATATTCACGTATAAATGAAAAAATTGTCAAATATGCAAAATATTCAACTATAAATTTTAAATATAAATTTGTATTGCTACGAAACAAATTTCAATATTACTTAGCTATGTTTTTGATGATTATTTAAAAACATGCAAACTTCTAGAAGTCCCGATCCCTAATCATTACCTATTAAAAAAAGAAATCATACGCGTTTTCGAAATAAAATGTTATTTGTGAAATTAATGTGGTTTAACGCTTTTTCCAAATATTTATGCACCTATAGGATAGTTGGATGTCATGTACGGTGCAGTTTCAACGCCAAACTTAATACATAGTTTTTCAGCCTGGAGGGCTACGATCCCATGTACAACGGCTGGTTGCGTCGATCAGAAATAATTAAATGATACTTAAAAAAATAAACTTTTATCAATATTTTTTTAAACCGACAAAAACATGCACATAGTTAGAAATGATTTCTTTCCGTAATAAGCGTATACTAACTATATGTAGTTACATTTCCTATAAGTGATCAAATATTTATAAACGGTAATTAGGCTGAAATCAGTATTCAATGTAATGAGACCGTGAAGTGACTAACTTCACTGTTGGCTTATATTTATGGGCCATGACATTACCAAAGGTTGAGAAACGAAATGATAATGTAATATAATATTAACCAGTGATGGGAGCGTTGCACTTCACGGCCTAGGGTTAGGCACACCCGGTATAGGATTGTATAGACGTATTCGGAAAAAGAGTCATAGCGCGCGCGCTGCGTGACGTCGCCGTACGGTCGTGGTGAATCGGTCGCAATTATTACCGCCACCGCGCGCCGTAACCGCGTTACTGTCGCCGTCGCCACCGTTTAACAGCGGTAGCTGTACGCGTGCACCGCGAATACCACGTTTGACAGTCCGGCGGCGAACACGCCGACGTTTGGTTCGTATGCGCAGTAACGGACATACCCGTCGTCGTCGATTAATCGTCGGTCTCGCATGCGTGTAGGATATATGAATCACAGTGTTTTATATTGTATTTTATCGCGTATAAAATATAATTATAAGTGTACATTACGTGTGCCGTATTAGTGTTTATGGTGTAATTATTGTTTTGCAACGGAAATCGCGCGTGTTCGTTTTTCCTTGCGTCCGAGGCTTTTCACCACTGCTGTCTTTCGTATCGCACTGTCGTTCCGCGCGCGACAATATATCGAACCTAACCGGCCGTTAATCGTACATGATCGTTAGTTTGTTTGAAACATTTCCAGTATTTTCGCCTTGGTCTTCGCGACTCGATCGAATTCGCATTTCGCTCGAACATCTCGCGATGACGACGTTCATTTGGACAAGTAGTTCCATTACGAATCGAACAGTTTCGGTAACCGGATAGACAGTTCTGTACCCGGTACCTGTACATATTATATAGGTCCACAAAAATATCAAAAATCGTACATCTGGCGCCCACTCAAAGAAACGAGTCCACCACCGACGTCGCCTCCGCGAACGATATCACGACGGTACATTGTTGTTGTATCGCTTCAGCTACAGCGTTTTGATTTGAAAAGAGAAGAAAAAAAACAATAACCAATTGTCATTGACAGCTATTTGAATCAACTGTTCGTAATATTTCTGGCTGTAGTGTTGTCGAAAAAAAAATTTGATAAATCCACAGAACACATCCGCCGTGACGTCGTTGGTCTTCTGTCACCAAGGTAAACTTTTGTTTTACATTTATCATGTTTTTTCTTTGAATTTTTTCTCACACATTGATTTGCCGATCATGAGTTTAACATTATTTTTTTTTCGCCTATGACTGCATTTATTGTTAATCAAAAGCATTAGAGTTTTCGTATACCTACGCTATGCTTAAGGACATAATGACACTCGAGGGTAACGTAAAAATATAAATATACCTATCCTTTATTCATTTTCATGGTAAAATAACGAAATTTAGGAAGAAAAAATCGTCCAATAATATGCAATATGAATTAATATAGTGTAAGATTACAAATAATCTATCATTAAAAAAAAAAAAATAGTAAGAGTAATAATATAAATAAATGTAATTATATATGTTAAATTTTAAACTAAAACATTAACTAAATATGTCTTTCAATTACAAGAAAGGTTAGATTTAAAACTACCATATTTTTAATTCTTCTTTCCTCCTACTTGACAACTCTTAACATTCTAAACTTTAATATACAAATAAAAATTTGACAATATAAACTTTAAGTAACACAAAATCAGATTAGTTTAATGGTATTGGAAAAAATATAATTATAGCGAAAATAATTATGTTCGTTTATTCAAATTCGGTACGCTGCAGTGCTATTGAAAAGCTGTTATCTGTTATCATGTATTGTCATAATAATATAGTTTAGTCTCTATCAGATTAATATCATGTACTTACTGAATGAATTATTATCGGAGATAATAAAACAATTAATTTTATAATCTATTTTATTTTACTTATTTATTCATGATAGCTATTATTAATATTGTAATAAATACTTTGTTGAAAAAGGGCAATGTAATTAAGTTTATATTGTAACTGGTAAATTATGTTTGTACTTTATTGTAATCAATGTTATAATAGTTAATATTTTACAATAGTATACATAGTAAATCAATGATAACTATGTTAACTTTGTTATCTATTTCAAAAAATGAAAATTTTGACTTCAGCTGACCATTCAATTTATTTTGTTTTATTATAATGTACTTTATAGGTTTTAAATTTTTCTCACGCTAAATCACATTAAATTAAATTAAAACCAAACTATTATTGGATAATGATTATTAATTAATTAATTAATAAAAATACGATTTTTTTGGTAAATTACGTAAAAACATTGTTTTTGTAAAATAATGTTATAATTTGTGATTGAACATGTTTTTAATTTGTAAGAAAATCAAAAATACGACTATCGAGTAAAACTATTAGTAACTCTTACAAGGCATCTTAAACCAGAGTATTTTTTGACGTGTTTTGTATAAAACTTATATAGCTAATCATATTATAGTCTTCAAGATATATTTTACGTAAAAAATATGAGTAGTTATATATATATATATATATATATATATATAGTCATAATATTGCTTGATAATATTTGATAACTTACAAGAAAAATTATCATGATTATATAAAACCTATATATTAACCTATATATTATAGGTATAAATATTATAATGAGAATGTACAACATTTCAAAAATCGCCCGCTGATTTACACAGACGGATTCAAAAACAAAAACGAAATAGGTTTCTCAATAATAGTGAGTCCTTTAGTCAAAAACTACCAACTTCCTTCATTTACCAGAAATTGCACAGCGGAAACATACTCAATGTACACAGTAGCATAATACTTAGCTCTATGTAACAATAATCCTGAATTAAATATCAGCGACTTTTTTAGTGCCCTAACCTCTCTTTAAACCCAAAATCCAAAAAATGAACTGGTACAGCATATATAGGAAATTATCTTCACATTAAGAAATAAAATATAATCTATAGTACATGAGTCCCAATATATGTAGGAATTCCAAGGAACGTAAAAGTAGACACATTGGCGAATGAAGCGCCTTCAGCCACAATTACCAACAACATGAACAATCTAAGTAAATTATCAATTATTAGCTTAATTAACGGAGCTTACAAATTAATAACAAAAATATGGCAAAACCAGTGGGACTCCTAGACACATGACAACAAGTTGAAGAATATCAAAAAATCAATATCCAAGACAACTCAGGCAGGATAGAAAAATTGTTATTAACAGAGCCAAAATAGGCCACTATCACCTTATGCAGTCGTACCTTATCGCCGAGGAACCCAAACCTACGTGTAACATATACAAATTTTTTATCACAATCGCACACATTATCAACGACTGCCCAAAATACTCAACACTTCACCTTCTCATAAATCCATCAAAAAGAAATACAAAAGAAGCCTTCAACTAACGGAACACTGCCAAAATTTTTATATTTTTCGATTGAATTAATTTAAACAAAATCTTGTAAAATAATCATATAACATTATATAATAAACACTAGTATTATTATATGAATGCTCTCACATGATGTTATCCCCTTTTAGGTCCACACTTTAACCTCACAACAAGTTAATAATATTGTAGTTTAAGCCTTATTCTAAATAAAAATAAATAAATATTAAGGCTATTTATTTTTCATCTAAATAATTGAAAATTTCAAATGTTTAAAAATAAGTATTAAGTATTAACCATTATTAGAAAAATAGTATAAAATATTTAATAAGTAAACAGGTACTCAAAGTCTTATGGTTACAATATAAGGGAGGCTATTACTTTTGGTGAAATTCTTTCACTCAAAACAATTTAATTTTTTTAATCAGTAAATGTTTTATTATAAATTTAATAATAATTTAATTATAACATTTATGTAAATTTATTAGCTAACGATTATAAAATATATAGCAATCTGGGACTATAGTTTCCTCCTTGATCCTCCTGATCCAGACCTAAGTATAATAAACATATTAATTAAAATGCAATTCAATATCTATCAACAAAATAGCCAAATGTTATAGTCGCTCTATCAGACATTGATTTAGATTATTTCATTTGTATTCGATAACGTGTCCATAATTGCCCACTAGTTCAGAGTTCGACAAGTGATTCCCATTGGAGTCCAGAAGATTAAAATAATAAACGGGTTCCTGAGAAAATAAATGTTTGTTATGAGACAACTGTAAAATATATATAATACTAATAAAACACTATATTTTTTCATCGATCGTTGTAAAAATTATTTAAAAATACAATTAATGCATTTAAGTAAGATATGTTGATGGTCCATTTATCTGCCTTCCGCGGTTCTAATTCGAATTGCGATCTGCCAGTTACCAACCACTACACTAGTTGATAGCACAATATAATGACAATATTAATAACAATAATATTATTTATTAGCTCGTATTAAGTATCTTAAGATTATAATATGAGGATCACGTAGAAAAGTATTAAATAAAAATGTTTATTCTCAGTCTTCAATTTACCAGATTTAAAAATTTCAATTATAATAAATGTATATTTAAATAAATTTAATTTCAAAAATTAAAGTAATTTAAGTTTGCCCAATAATTCTGCTGTATCTTTGAATAGAAAAAAACAGAGTTAAAATGTATAAATAATAAAAATGTATGATATGGTACAGTATAACACGTGTAATACGTATTGTACGTGTAAAACATATGGTATAAAAATCATAATTATAAACAATTTATAACATTAAAAATAAAATTCCTAATAAACAAAAATACATTTATAATTTGAACTTAAAATAACAAAAGGAAATAAAAACAATAAATAGATAATTGTAATGCTATTAATATATTATTAATAATTATCATTATCTTATCACTGACGTATTTAGATTAAATTAATTATATTTTTGTTATTTACAACAACTTAAATATTTTTATATTATTATACGAGTATTATACACGAAAAATTTAAGTATTTAATAGTTAATATTAATATTCTAGTTTAAATAATCGTACGTAGATGATTGTTTTTTTATGTATTATTTAATATAGAAAAATAAAAAAATATTAAAGAAAATAGAAAAAGAAATTTTTTTATTTATAAAAATATTTCATATTATTTATTTGATAATATTCAAATTTTACTTTAATATATGAATGTAATAATTTATTATATTTTGTGTCTGTGGCAATACTTTATTATTTTATTATTTGAAATACTGAGAAAATAAAAATGCAAACAAAAGTATTTTTTTTATTATTTATGCAACACATAGGATTTTTAACTACCTACCTTATATATTTTTACCAAGTATAAAAATTAAAAAACTAATTTAAAATCTGAAAAACAAAGTTTTTTAAAATTTTTAAGAGTGAATTTCAAAAATAAAAAAGATACGTTATATTAATTTTATACGTAAGATATTATATATGACATATATAACATTATAACGTTACATTGTAACGTATAAAACGCTTTATACATGAAAATAACCAACTCTAGAAAAAACGAAAAATACATTTTAATCAATATTTTTAATAATATTATAATTATTAGAAATTCACATAACTAAGGTTCATCAAGGAGCACTATTGATACATACTAGAAACATTAGCTATTATTTATTTTTATAAATAATAAAATACTGTACATAATTGATTATAATATTTCTTGTCAGTCATATTCATTAAATTTGATGCTAACCAATGTTTATACATAATTTTTAAACCAAATTTCAAATAAGTATCGTATCAAAACTCTTATTTAAACGTATATTTGATAGTTTGAATAATACCAGATTCTACCAAATGTTATACATTCCTTACATCCGGTTGCACCCCAGTAATAGGTAATAAATATACGTATAAGAAAATAAACTTTCATATTGTTTCGTTTATCAATTACTGTTTTCAAACTCGATAGGTGACATTAGTGATACATATAACACATTTCTTAACATTATTTTCCTCTTCAAGTCTGTACATTTATAATAATAGGGAATTTTAATATAATCAGTATCAAATTGCCAATCTTATACACGTTATTATTTTATATATTATTATATACCTATACACATTTTGTTTTGCTAAATATTATGACGGAAAACACTTGTCAGATGGGAGTGACTTCTAAGAATTTTTTTAAGAATTTATGTAGTCATCACATCATACAGTTTTAATT